GAGCAGAAGGAAATGATAAGTGGTTTCCAGCAAGGTATTCTCTCCAAGTACTGAAATAAGTGGTAACAGATAGTTTTTTGATAGGATAATTTGTAACGAGCAACAAGTAATAAAAGTAAATAAAGTGCAGCAAGGTGGCCCAATCCTTTTTGTAGCAAAGGACAAGCTTGGACAAACTCTTATATAGAGAAAAGTTCTCCCGAGGACACATGGGAATACCGTCAAGCTAGTTTTCATCACGCTCATATGATTCGCGTTCGATACTTTGATAATTTGGTATGTGGGTGGACCGGTGCTTGGGTACTGCCCTTACTCGGACAAGCTTCCCACTTATGATTAACCTCTATTGCAAGCATCCGCAACTTCAACAAAAGTATTAAGGTAAACCTAACCATAACATGAAACATACGGATCCAAATGAGCCCCTTACGAAGCAACGCATAAACTAGGGTTTAAGCTTCTGTCACTGTAGCAACCCATCATCTACTTATTACTCCCCAATGCCTTCCTCTAGGCCCAAACAATGGTGAAGTGTCATGTAGTCGACGTTCACATAACACCACTAGAGGAGAGACAACATACATCTCATCAAAATATCGAACGAATACCAAATTCACATGACTACTAATGGCAAGACTCCTCCCATGCCCTCAGGAAGAAAAGTAACTACTCACAAAGGATAAACATGTTCATAATCAGTGGGGTATTAATATGCATATACAATCTGAACATATGATCTTCCACCAGTTAAACCAACTAGCATCAACTACAAGGAGTAATTAACACTACTAGCTACCTACTAGCACCAATCCCGGACTTGGAGACAAGAATTGGATACAAGAGATGAACTAGGGTTTTGAGAGGAGATGGTGCTGATGAAGATGTTGATGGAGATTGCCGTCTCCTGATGAGAGGAGCGTTGGTGATGATGATGGCGATGATTTCCCCCTCCAGGAGGGAAGTTTTCCTGGCAGAACAGCTCCGCCGGAGCCCTAGATTGGTTCCGCCAAGGTTCCGCCTCATGGCGGCGGAGTTTCTTCCGAGAAGATGGCGATGATTTCCCATCAAAAGACTTCATATAGCAGAAGATGGCCATCTGAGGGCCACCAGGGGGGCCATGAGGTAGGGGGCGCGCCCAGGGGGTAGGGCGCGCCCCCACCGTTGTGGGCAGGGTGTGGCCCCCCTGGTGTAGTTCTTGCTCTCAGTATTTTTTATGTATTTGGAAAACGTCTTCCGTGGAGTTTCAGGACTTTTGGAGCTGTGCAGAATAGGTCTCTAATATTTGCTCCTTTTCCAGCCCAGAATCCCGGCTATCGGCATTCTCCCTCTTTATGTAAACCTTGTAAAATAAGAGAGAATAGGCATAAGTATTGTGACATAATGTGTAATAACAGCCCATAATGGAATAAATATTGATATAAAAGCATGACGCAAAATGGACGTATCAATGTACAGCCCACACGGTGAATCCCAGAAAAACATTTCCGTTTGTATGTATATCACACACAGTCAATCCAAGGAATACATTTCCATTCTTATGTACATCCCACACAATCAATCCAGGGAAAACGTTTCCGTTCGTATGTACATCCCATACAGTTTTATGTGTAGGCTCGTGTGTGAAAGGTGTAACTATCACACACGCTCTGCCTTGGTTAACTGTTTGCTTTCATTAACTACATCACACACGATTTGATGTAGAAAACTATGTGCATTGGGCTATCCATCACAAGCACTTTTACTGCCAGAACCATTTGCAAAGTTCCATGACCGTCTGTTCTCTTTTTATTTTTGCTTGTAATCTATTATTCGAATTGGAAATTTTGAAATATGAAACATGCAGTTCAAATTCTCAGGACAATGGTTCAACAACGAATCCATAAATAAAATTGCCAGTACAATATGTTCAGTAATTACAAGATTAGGCAACAATTAACTATGATGAACCACATTATTTAAAGGCGGTAAAGGTGAAGAGACAAGTGTAAATCATTTTGACTGCCGACGGTTTTGAAGAAGTGGAATGCCCATAATGTGCCTTCCTGCATGCCATAGGCATGAACCACTTTTGTCCAACCCCTTGTGATGATCGCCCGCCCATCCTTCACCGCCTTGAGGAAGACTTCTAGAGCATTATCATGGTAGCATGAATTATATACTTTAACCTTAGTTGCCTCCACTCCGGTGATGTAGTTTGCAAGGTGATCATCAGTAAATAGCTTCGGAAACCACGGAAAAGAGAAAAATATCATATACTGAGGTCTAATAGAGTAACTTGTTGTGGGTAGGTGGAAAAGGCAACACATTCTTACCATCCTAAAGTTTAATGTTGTCTTTGACAAAGTGTAAATAAAGAGCTTAATTCCAATTAGCCATTTCTTTCGCCTAACAATCTTTCTTAGTTTCCCCACTTGACGCTTGTTCATGAATATCTCATTGCCCCATACGCAAAAGGGATCGAAGCGTGGATCAGTACCACTCATATATGTCCCTACAAGCAACCAGTAAATGTTAGAAGCTAAACTGAGATTGCACAAATGATGTAAAATACAACTACCTATGTTCCTAAGTACAAGTTTTTTTTGAGATTTCAATATTAACTACATACGGATGTATATAGAATTATAGATATAGTTTAGATTAGAATCTAGATTCACTCATTTTGCTCCTTATGTAGTCTATATTGGAATATCTAAAAATACTTATATTTAGGAATAGATCGTGTATAAGACATGGGATGCAGCTAACCTCGACGGCAAACAACAGCATCACCCATTGTAGCCCTGTGTAAGTACATGGAAAGCCAATGTTAACTACAACAGGGTTAACATCCACCAAAAATAGCAAATGGTAATAAAATGGCAGCATCTGTAGTGATATCTTCATTTCAAAAAAGTAGGACGGTAGCAAAGGGACGGATTAAAAAAATGGATACAACTGTTAATTGCAACAGGCTTAACAACATCCTAATTCATGTTTTGTAAGTTTGTAGCCATTGAAATACAACTCTTTAAAAATGGATACAACTGTTAATTGCAGCAGGTTTAATGGTCATTGAAACCGATACTGATAAAAATGCAATTGGCAGACTTAAACATCACAGGGCAGGTGTTACGAGAGCAGATAATGACCCAGTTGTCTATAAAAAGGTAGGGAAAAGAGCTAAAACATGTTAGGCATATTTACTACAACATGCTTAATACATCGACCATACAAAACATAGTCATTAATTGCAACTGGTATTGGTAAGATTGAACTGGTGAGTACATACTTCGTAAGTCTTAAGAGGTAGTTGTTGGGGCACTTCATCTTGGCCAGAGCCCGCCCAAAGTCAGCGGCGGTAGAGGCGAGCTGTTCCTCCGGGTCGAAGCATGGATCAGTGCCACTGACATGTGTACCTACAGGCAACCAGTAAATGGTAGAAGTTAAACTGCAATTGCACAAATGATGTGAAATACTGTAAGACATGGGATGGAGCTAACCTCGACGGCAAACAACAGCATCCGTCGTTATGACCCTGCGTAAGTACATGGACAAGCTTGTTAAGTACAACAGGGTTAGCACCCACCAAAAATAGCAAATCAGCAGCATCTCTAGTATGTCTTCATTGCGGAGAGTAGCATGGTTGCAAATGAACAGATTAAAAAATGGATGCAACTGTTATTGCAACAGGCTTAACAACATCCTAAGTCATGTTTTGTAAGTTTGTAGCCATTGAAATACAACTATTTAAAAATGGATTCAACTGTTAATTGCAACAGGCTTAATAGACATTGAAACTGGTACTGATAACAATGCAATTGACATAGTTAAACATCACAAGGCAGGTGCTGCCAGAGCAGAGAATAGCCCAGATGTCTATAAAAAGGTAGGGAAAGTAGCAAAACCGTGTTAGGCATGTTTACTAGAACATGCTTAATACATCGATCGTACAGAACATAGCCATTAATTGCAACTAGTATTGGTAAGATTGAACTGGTGAGTACATACTTGGTAAGTCCTGAGAGGTAGTTGCTGGGGCACTTCATCTTGGTCAGAGCCCGCCCAAAGTCAGTGACGGCGAAGGCGAGCCAATCCTCCGGGTCGAAGCGTGGATCAGTGCCACTGACATGTGTACCTACGGGCAACACTACAAGAAACCTGTTAATCCGTGACGGATTCCTGGTGACATTCTGCAAATCCGTCATGGAAACCGTCACCGACCAGCTATATGTGTTTGGGCCCAAAAAGGTAGCCCCTTAATGACGGATGTGGTGGTACCGTCACGAAAACCGTCACAAATAGACCAATCGGGCCTAGCTTTCCCTCCTTTTATACACCATCCAGATGTTCACGAATTGCTCCTGCTATTGTGGGATAGTCATATGAGTTACATTGTAATTTGAATTTTCAATAATGTAAAAAAACAAGTATCCTAAAGAAATTAGATGGCTAGAAACAGAATGAATATACTTATGTAGCATACAAACACGTGGGACCAACATGAATCAGGTCTACTACCAGGCACCAAGGGCAAAGACACCAAAGATGAAGCAGGCTGAAGCAAAGCGCGCGGAGGAAAAATAATTCAAGTCGTGTACGCGGCAAAGTCCGAAACAGGAAGCGCACGGCAAAGTCGTCGACGCGGGGAGTTAAAAAATTTCGGAGCCAACCCATTTAACACCACAGCCCACCAGCCCGAGAGGCCACAACCTCGTGCCTCTCTCCCCACGACCACGGAAACCTAATCCATCTCCACCCACAGCCGCCGGCTCCTACCCCTCTCTGTTCCCGATTCAGATCCATGCCCATCCTCCGTCCCCGCGCGGCTGCCACCCCCTCGATCTCCCGCGCCGCCGTCCCAACCATCTCCCGCTCCACCTCCGTCTATCACCCTCTATCGCTCCTTCACCGCCCCCACCCTCTTCCCCTGTGCAGCCTACTCAGATTCGAGATGGGGGCACACGTGGCCGTAGCGTCGCTCCCGCCTCCGCGTCAAGGTCAGTCCCCTGCTCGTCATCATGGGCGCGGTGGTCATGAGGAAGGTGGTTGAGATCGGTGAGATGAACGTTGTCGCCTACCCGCTGGCCAGGACCAAGCACGGCCGCCCCGGCGCTCCGTCTTCTTCACAATCTCGCGCTGGGAAAGGAGGGCGTGGCCACGTATTTCTTCATCACTCCTTGGCCTTTTTTGCATCGCCACTGGTGACCTTGTCGGACCACTTGCTGTGAAGGTGAGAACCCTTTTCACTCGCCATTAGTTGAAGAGTTATCTATTTAGGATGTCAAGATAGTGCTTTGCAGTGAAGTAACTTTTGTGGCTGGGAATAATTGTTTTGGAAAGATACCAAGATGATGTATTATGTTCCATATTTTGCATAAATGTTGATGTGACTGATATTTTTAATGTAGAGATTTATATTTACATCTTTTCTTCATCAACATGCACGTGTAACAAATATATGTAGGGTGCTTACATAGTTTCTGAGGTCGTGATGTGTTTATGTGTGTCAATTTAGTTTACAGATATACATCATTGAGATGGATAAAAGTATGATGTAGAGTATACATGAAACTGAAAAGATGGGATGCTTAAAGCTAGAATAAATTGTGGAGGGAATCCTATGCAGGAGTAACTATAGTGGATACTTTTACTAAATCAGAAGATTTATTTGTTTTCTCCATGGAATAGTTTGACTAAAGTTCTAATTATTATTCTGTAGGTGGAGGAGATAGCTGAAGTCGAGGGTGTTGTTGATGACATAAAAGGTGTTGATAAAATAGAGCCTTGTGAAGAACAGAGGATACAATACAAAAACGTCAGTCGAAACTACTTCTGTAGTACAAAATAATTAGCTAGCACTACAAACTATGCACCCTTCTTTGTCCTGATGTTCCTATCCTTGAAGGATGTTTCCTCACACATGACAGTAGCTGCACGGCCTATGAACGATGTTCCCTCCCCAACAACGCCTTTGTGAGCATGCTCGCTGTTGGCGCTGTCATGGCAGAATCGTGCAAGCATCGGCCATGCAGCTGTCGTGTGTATAGCAGTGCTGATCCTTAAATATCTTTGTTGTGCTTTTTGCATCGTCTTAGTGTGTGTGCGCTTGTTTCCATTTTTTACTTAATTTATTGCTTGCTGCAACACCTAATTGCTCCTAGTTTGATAGAGTTGTTTGTTTTGTTCACGGTGGATGCATGATATGTAAAATCTCAAATGGTATTTTTATAGTTACATGTCTATTTTGACAAAATGCTGATTGCTAACATTTACTCTGTGTACCAATTACTTTCTACCATTCGTGATTATTCTCTACTGCTATGTACCTTATATGAGAAAACACCACCCACTCTGTACTCTACCAATCAGTTTTCTGGTTTGCTTGGAAGAAAATAACCATTACTTGAAAACCAGCTATGAGATAGACTAGATCATTTAAGCTTGGTTGATAGATAAAATTCGGTTCATGTGCTGGGACAAGTGTACATTTTTTTGTTCAGTGAAGAGTGTTTGTGCTGTTGGTGGTGACCTCCTCTGCCGCGCGCCGGCGGTGGCCGACTTGCACTGCGACCCTGGCCATTGAGCTGAACCTGATCCTGGTCCATGGTTAGTTAGGGTGTTGGTGCTGTTTGGGCTCGATTAGCTCGATTCGATGTTGTTTTAGGCTTGAGAAAAGTTGTTCTCTTGTTGAAATGAGAGGGATAAGGTAGGTGCTGCAGTTGTTGGTAATCATGTATATGCAATTGTAGGCAACCAGAGAATATGTGCTGCATTTGTATGTCCTCATGTTTAAAATTTGTGTCTGGAAGTTATTACTGGATCTACTATCCCAATAATTTTTTATTTCCTAAATTTCATGGTAAATCTGGAAGTTGCATTGCATATATGTGTATTACGCCATACTAGTAAACTTCTAAAAGCAAGTGGAGCTGAACCTTTATAATGCACTCTGCATTCTGCAAATTATGCCATACTTATTTGCATGTCATGCTATATGAACATGCACTGTGGTTGTCATTCTTATGCTGGGAACGATGTTCCTCATGGTCCCATTAATGCTGCTAGTATGGAAGAGGCACTGGATCCTTGTTGTCACATTCCTTGAGCTCTTGTTGATGGAGGATAAATGGAAATAAGTGATCATCTAGTGGAGACACAGTAAGTTACAACCTCTTTGCTCTTCCTGTTCGTAATAAGAAGGAATTCTTACTCTAGTGTCCCATTTACTTGTAGCTTTTAAAATTTTGATACACAATATATATGATGCTTCCATGCTTTTCAAGTTTTTTGCAATATTGTTTTTCTCTATATTGCACCCAGAACTGAATGTTTGATTGGATCAGGCAGGTAACATTGTGAGTAGGCCTTCTGGCCTGTTTACTTTTTGATTGGATCAGGCGTTCATGTAAACATGATAGCTCCAACTCTTGTTTCAAGAGTGAGTAGTACGTTGAAACTGCATTTTAGTAAATAGGGGTTACTTCTCAAATCTGAGAAATTTAAAACCAATCCTCATTGCTGACTGGCGGTGTATATACAGTAATGGTATATGAAGATGAACTTGGCAAAAACTCAGCTTTTACCTTCGAAATATATGTATAGAATTTCCAGATCTAATTTGAAATGTCAATTAGGAAATGCTGAGCATTATCTTTGACCTTTCAAACCAAAAACCTACTGTATGGACAAACACAAATCATACTACTGTCCTTTGTTTAGAAATGCTGAGCATTATTTTGTTAGTGGGTTTATATGGCCTCAACTTCTGCTGCTATAGTACGTGAGTTTTGTGATGTGTGTTTGTTCGTCATTTGACTTTCATTCGGCACACTTCTCTCTGGTGACCGCTTCCTCTCTGAATCTTTAACCCTAAATTTTCTCTGAATTTCTTCTGTATCTTGTACACTGCAGGATAACAAGTAGAGACAAACTGCAGGGTACCAAGTAGAGACAAACCGCTGCACTGTGGTATGTGGCCTTCTATCAAGATCTGATTCAGTTTAGATTCCCCCCTAGGTCTTAGAGATGATTTTTGTTACTATATTAATATGTCAACATGTTCTATTTATAGTTTTCTCCCTAGGCATTTCGTTTTCTATCCTTGTTGTCTCCTGCAGACCGGTGAATATGTATTCCAGAAATAAGTTCAATCTGAATCTAAGAAGAAAATTACATTGTTACATTGTGGCAGTCCTAATACAGAGGTTTAAACCTGTTTATTTGTGTACTATCCACATGTATTAGTCAGTCAATTTATTGTTGTTTTATACTAGATACTTTGTTTTTTTCATTTGTAGGCATTTCTCCTACTACATATTCATATCTACAAATGTCTAATGTGGTTGTGAATATGCTAGGTATGTTGCTGTCCATCAGAATCTGCCATGCCATGTAGTTGCCATCAGGAGGGTCGACGACAAGAACACCAGTGACAACCTTTGTAGTTATATGTTTTGTCGATGTAAATTGGATTTTACCGGTTCCTAATCCTATGGATGGTTACATATTGAGTGATTTTGTCAATATATGGTGTATATTATCATTTCATGGAGGATATTATAAACTGCTAGGTTCTACATACCTATAGATGGTTGCATATTGAGTGATTTGTGTAACATATGGTACTTTGGAAATATTGTCCTCATCCAAAATTGGCATTATGATTTACGTAACACATTATGCTAAAAGCGTATTTGATCAAAATTGGGCTAAATGAAATGGATGGGATCAAATTTAAATTGATCCTAAATCCTTGACGGTTTTTGTGACGAAAAATTGTGTCCACGTAGGTAGCCACGTCATTCCAGGTAGTCAATTGAAAATTCTACGTGGCATTGGTCTATGACGGACTGCTCCGTCACGGCCTAGTTTGGGCTTGGGCGGGCCTGAGGCAATTCCATGACGGCCAAGAACCGTCATGGAAGCTACAATGTTAAATTATGACGCGATATACATGACGGATCTCAAGTCCGTCAAGGATGGACATGCATGACAGTTTTTGGGTGATCTGTGACGGCTAAGGACTGTCACGTATTAACAGATTTCTTGTACTGCAACCGGTAAATGGTAGAAGATAAACTGCAATTGCACAAATTATGTGAAGTAATGTAAGACATGGGATGCAGCTCACCTCGACGGCAAACAAAAGCATCGGCCGTTATGACCCTCGTAAGTACATGGACATGCATGTTAAGTACAACAGGGTTAGCATCCACTAAAAATAGCAAACGGGCAACATCTCTAGTGATATACTGAGTCATGTATTGTAAGTTTGTTGCTGGTATTGGTGAAACTGAGCCGGACACGGTAATATTTGAACATCACATAGTGTGCAGTACTGAAATAAACAAGGCACGGACATGCTTAATACATCAACCATACAAATCATAGTCGTTGCAAGTGGTATTGGTAAGATTTAGGTGGTCAGATCTTACCTGTTAAGTCCTGGGGGGTAGTCGCTGGGGGACTTCATCTGGGCCAAAGCCTGCACCATGTCGGCAGTGGCGGCGGAGGCGAGGTGTTCCTCTGGGTCAACGTGCACAGCGGCCATCGTGCCATGGACCGCCATCA